TCCTTTTTTTTTTTTATCAGATGAAACCTACCAGTAAAAGGTAAGTTTTGAAAATAGATGCCTACCACACAAACTGGGTCAGTAATGGTACTGTGTCACAAGATTTAGGGTTAGATAAGGCTGCTGTAGAGCTGGAGATCAGAGGATCCTAGATTTTCCAAGTGCACCCACCCCTTGTTCTGCCCATAATCAAAGGCTATAATGAATGATGTGTAGTTCCCCACTCTTCAATATCCAACAACCTATGAACAAGTACCTTAGTTTACCCTTACAGTGAGAACAATAGTGTACGCTGAACATTTGGTAGATGTGCTACAAAGCTCTCAGACCAGGTGCTTTTTGTGTGTGTGTATTTTGCCTGCATGTATGTAAGGGTGTGTGCAATGTCCATGAGACCAGAAGAGGTGTCAGATCCCCTGGAACTGGAGTTACAGATATTTGTTACAGATATGGGTGCTAGGAACTCAACCTGTTCTTCAAGAGCAACCAGTGCTCTTAACCACTGAGCCAACTCTCCAGCCCCAAAGGCCAAGTGTCCTGAAACTCTTCCCAAAGCTAACCTCTTAATACTGCTAAAAGATGGAGACATTTTAATGCTTATGAAATTCTACATGAAAAATACTTTCACAATGGAAGCTCATTCATCTTGTACCCCTTATCTATAGCAGTCGGTCCAGTGTTCTGAAATGTTCTGTGCTTTCACTCAAAGAACAGAATGAGAAAACCAAAACAAGGTTTTCAAAGGGACGGGAACTGAATTCTCAAAGAACCCTGCATCAATCTGGCCTTCTGGTGCTATAGTCTAATTAAGTTCTTACTCAGAGGACGTGTGTGTGTGTGTGTGTGTGTGTGTTCATGCATGCATGTGGGGGGGGTACATGTGCTGATGCATGCACATGTGGAGGCCTTTAGCTTTGAGGTAAGATGCTTCCCATGCAGTTCTCTATTCTAGTCAGATCATATTTCCACAGTTCGCTTTGGAAAACAGCAATCTAACTTTGACAATTAACTGTCGGGATCGTTCAAGCAAGTAGGACTCCAGTCTACCCAGTTACATTCTACACCATCTGGCCCTGCTACCTTAGCTCTACTTCAACTCCAGCTCAGACATTCCTTGACAGAGGACCCTAAGAACAAGTTTCTATACAACTACCCATTTATTCTGTCGTTCCTTCATTCTTGGAATCAGCTCCCGTGGGGGGGGGGTGGTGCTAGGAGTGGTGGTGTTCGCCTTTAATCTCAGCACTTGGGAGGCAGAGGCATGAGGATCTCTGTGAATTTGAGCCAGCCTGGTCTACACAGTGAGTTCTAGATCAGCCAGGGCTACATAGTGAGACCCTGTCTCAAAAAAATAAAGAAAAAAGAAAAATGGAAACTGAAAAGCAGATCTACCCTATGTACAGTACTAGAACCAGCTTCCCTTAGGGAAGGCAATCAGACACCTATAATATGACCCCAGGTGAACAACAGGAGTGGCACTCACAGTGATCCTGTGTGGCTGCAAAGCAACGTGACTTCCAAAGCAAGTGGCACTTTCCTGCCACAGGCCTGGCTACACCACATAGCACTGCTGTGAAGGGCTAACACAGAGGCTCTAGATATAAATCTTCCTTGAATTAGAAATTTACAGTATCAACTGGGTCTAGTCAGTCTCATCATCCTGTCAAGCAGATTTCACAGGTGAGTGAGGCACCATGGAAGCACTCAGGCATGGGAAGTTAGGCAGCCTACATTCTGGCCCCAGCTCTCTTTCTGCCCACCTGAGGGACACTGGGCAAGCCACTTCCTCCTCCTCCTGTTTCCTCTTCTGTGAAGTGGGGATAAAGTCACCTGCCTAGCCTATCTCACACCAAGCCTGTGAGGGTCAAATGAGATGCTGTGAAGATGTCTTGTAACTGTGTAATATTGTATGGGTGGTGAAGTAACAGTGTAGGCTTATCCTGTTACCTGGGTCCTCATCATGGCCTGTGTGACCAGATGTACCCCGTGCAGGATGAGCCTCGCAACAGAACTAAAAAACAGCGCTACACATACACACTGGTCCTCTGTACTATCATCTTTTTTTTTTTTTTTTTTTTTTGGTCTTTTTGAGACAGGGTCTCCCTGTAGCCCCAGCTATCCTGGAACTCACTATATAGCCCAGGCTGGCCTTGAACTCACAGAGATCTGCCTGCCTCTGCCTCCCAAGTGCTGGGATTAAAGGCCTGCGCCACCACCCCCAGAGTATCGTTTTTCAAAAAGGAAATTCTTAATTTCCCTCCAAATGGCCCCAGAACACAGTTCTTAAAAATATGATGTCGCCAGGCGTGATGGCACACACCTTTAATCCCAGCATTTGGGAGGCAGAGGCAGGCGGATCTCTGTGAGTTCGAGGTCAGCCTGGTCTACATAGTGAGTTCCAGATCAGCTGGGGCTACAGGGAGACCCTGTCTCAAAAAGACCAAAAAAAAAAAAAAAGTGATGTCATCCAATCTACAATTGATATAATTTTCTCCAAGGATGTCTTATATAGTCATAATCTGTGGATACCTCTGTACAGAGTCTAGAATTCAATATATAGCATGCTACAGCTTTTTAAAAAATCTTAAAACCCCCAAATAGCCATATAATTAAGACTGGTTTTAAAGAAAATAAAATGAAAATTAGAGGCATCAAAAATAAGTCAGGTCACAGTTCCTCAATGGTCGCCTTTTTCCTGAGGTAGCTCCAGGACAGGGTCCTAGTCCTGTGAAGTGCTTTACAGATGCTTGGTCTTGCTGGAGATGAAAAGGACACGTCAGTTGGCAACTAAGCTGTGCTTGTTTTCAGCACTAGGATTTGAACAAGAAGGTCTGCCAGGAGCTGCCAAACAGCTTTGGTGGAGAAGCCCATATAGCCTAAGGGAGGCTTGCTAGTCCTTGGATGTCAGGCCAGAGTAACGAGAACAGCATAACAGAGACATCCAGTCCGGCCAGGGATTTTCAGTTCTTACTGTAAGCTGGTTCTGCTCTCCTCCAGTCTAGTAAATAATTGAACAGAAGAAAAACATTGAGGAGGGGAGCAGGGTGCCTCCTCCAGGCTTCAGGGCCTTTCTCTGCCCATCTGCAGAGTTTACATGCAGAAGAGAGACAGAGGCAAGAAGTGATAGGACACTGATTGGACTCTGAAGTAGACTGACTGCCTGAAGTACTCGGGAATCCAGCATTTTTGTCAGATGAACTTTATTACAAGTGTTACAAATGATGGTTTGACGAAGTCCAGGGCGAAGAATCACTAGTTAACTTGACGGTTGTTCGCTGGAGCAGTAGGAGTGCTGCTAACCTCCACTTTTCTTCCTGTTTTGCTTAGCTTTCCGGGGTTTAAGGATGGTGTAGTTCGCATACACTGTATATCGATCTGACAGGAAGGGGACATAGAACGCCCGAAGCAGCTTTGAAGATCTGAAAAACAAGAATAAAAAAAGAGACAATTTCATCATCTGGAAGAATTACTAATGGCACTGAAAATGATTAAAAGAAACCAAGTGCTCTGGCAAGCATTATGTTTTATATAAATACAGAGAAGCCTACTATTCAGGTACCAGATCATGATCAATACCATACTGTTACTTATACCAAAAAAAAAAGGTGTCTGCCTAATAAAGCCTAAACTAGCCTTGCAAAAGCAGTCCGGTCTGCATTTTGCATTCAAATGTACCACAGAAAGTTCCAGGGCAATCAGAGGGCTGCTACGACCGAAAGCCATTCTTAACACTCAAATGGTTCCTGCGTCTGAAAAAAATATAGAAATGCCAAATGCTCCAACTATCCAGAATCCAGCTCTAAATTTTCCTAGAGAGGTGAGGAAAACTATGTCCTGAGTGCCTGTGCAGAGTGTTCCAGGAATGCCTGAATCAAGGGGCCAGTCTACACTCACGTTCATGCTAAGACAATATGTTCCTGGAAAATTCTGCTTATTACTGAAATATGAGAACTGAAAACCTGAATTTACCAAGGGTTTTTGAAGCATATAAGTGATTTGGTCTTAAAATCATTTAATTCATCTGATAATCCTATGAGGAAGGTGTCAATAGTCCTGTTTTACAGACGGAGAAGGGAGGCTTAAGCCTGTTCAGGGTCACACAGATTAATTTCCTCGGGTTCAGGAAGTCATCCAGCCTCATTCAAGAGCCTCATTGAGGTTTAATTCTAAAGTCTGTAAGCTTAACCATTATGGTTTCTCCTGCAGCCCACTAACATGCTTAATGGATTTATCATTTCCTAGAAAAAGTTGTAATGATAACTTCAAATACATGAAGCATTACTTCCTGACTGAATTCTGCGTCTGAAAACCCCAAAGTTGGCCCAGTTACGGCTATTTGAAATGAGATAGCTGAGGGGTGTTCCACTGCCAGTCCCTTTCCAGATTCTAAACTTGTAAATGTCATGTCAACGTGGCATTTGTACTGGCAGCCTACCTCTGGGCTTGGCAGGCTCCCACAATGCCTGCACACAATGCTATCATGTTTGGCAAACACCTCTTAGAGATCCTTCCCAACTGGGATGCTGGCAGTGCCCTGTGCTCAACAGAGATGCACTTCACTTCAATAGCCAACAGCTCAAGGGCTCTGACAAAGAAAAGAGGCTTAGAGGAGGGACCCAGGAGATAAAGCAGGGCTCTTGAAAGCACAGTGAGCAGGAAGAGGATGCACCTGCCTCAGACAAAAGCAGTTAATTTACTCTTATTTGTTCATGGTACACAGAGAAGGGGAAGGTCTGAATAAGTCTAAAGCTGCTCAAATTCCTTCAGGCCTAGATGTCCATCCTAGAAATGACCCCACAGTTTCACTACTAAGTCATCACATACTGTCCATTCCTGGTGACCTTAGCCTTGGTGTAACATAAGGGCCTACCAGAATCAACTATGGTACCACATTTTTAAAGCACTTCATTGCTATTTAGGAGGGCTGCAGTTCATAATTTTATTCTTTTTTTTTTTTTCTTTTTCAGTCAGGGTCGCCCTGTAGGCCCAGCTGGCCTAGCACTCACTATGTAGACCAGGCTGGCCTTGATCTCACAGAGATTTGCCTACCTCTGCCTCCCAAGTGCTGGGACTAAAGGATAATTATATTCTTTTTAGGTCTTCCAAAGAAAAGAAAAATTATGTTTATCTTGAAAACTAGAATAAACCCATTCCGGTGTGTACCATGTGAATCTACAATATCCTTCTATAAATCTAAGTTACATTAAAGGATCTTGATGGGGTTTTTTTTCCTGAACTTTGAATTATTTATAATTATAATTTTAAAAAAGGACAAAATAGCAGGGCATAGTGGTACACACCTTTAACCCCAGCACTTGGGAGGCAGAGGCAGGTGGATCTGGCAGTTCCAGGCCAGCTGGGCCACAGGGAGACCCTGCCTCAGAAAGACCAAAGAAAAAGGACAAAATAAGAAAAAAGAAAAAGGATGGAGTCACAAAAAGGATAATGGAATAGTGAAATCACACACTACTACTACACCAGCTTTTAATAAAGCACAAATGACTAGGGACACTTACAGCTGAACACAGTTCAGAATGCAGATTTTCAACATTTTCCATCTGTAATGGCCACAAGAGAACTGACACAGAAAGACATTTCACAGTTCTCAGAGAAATCAGAAGACAAACAGAGACGAAGAGCAGTAGAGCAGACTCAAAGGACGGCAGTGGGTGGATGGTGCAGGCAACACCCGCAGCCACAAGCCTTCAGTGCAGTACAGCAGACCAGTTCCTCAAACTCAGGAACTGGTGAGTCAAGCCTGACAACCTGAGGTTGATCCCCAAATACACATGGTGGAAGGAGAGAACAGACTCCTCAGAGTTGTCCTCTGACTGTCACACATGTGCTCTTCCCCTCACCAAACAATAAATAGATAAATACATGTAATTAAATAAGTGTAAAAAAAACTGATGGGTGAACAATACACTCGTAAGGACAAAAAGGAAGTAGCACATTCTTGCCCTAGTAGTCATTCACCAGGAAAGCCTCCACCATGCAACACTGCAGGAAGATCCTAGACCATCCTGTTACACCAAAAAGAAATGCCCATACTCTTTTGTCATCTATGATGCTGCACATCAGATTTTATGTGACGCATTTCGTACATGGACAAGCTGAAGGGGGAAGTGCTCAAGTAACAGGAAGAGCACAGACTCTGAAGATGTTTTAAATCACTGATTATTCTGATGTTTAAAATCTAAAAATGGAAATGTTTGAATTTTCATTCGTGAATTGGAGTAACTGAGCCACCAAAGGTTTCACAAAAAATCTTCAAGTGCTGTACTTTGATGACACAAGTATGAGAGGAGCCAGGAGCAGTGATGAGATTCATCAGTGATGGGCCCAAAGGCCACAGCCTGTGCTCTCAATATGCTCCTACTCCAGATTCAGGTGCGGCAGATGCTTGGCAGTTGTCTGTAATTTGAGACATTGTCCATTTCAGGAGTGAGTATGTGTCTAAGTGTGTGTGTTCAAAGCAGGAGAACATAGAATTAAATACAGAATATATACATTCTCCCACAATCACAAGAATATGGAAAAAGTTGCTTCCTTTGTTTTCAAGTGAATTCTTTCATTACCCTTCTATTCCTTTCTTCTTCTTCTTTTTTTGTTTGGTCGTTTTGAGACAGGGTCTCCTTGTAGCCCCAGACTGGAATTCACTATGTAGACCAGGCTAGCCTGGCCTTGAACTCACAGAGATCCGCTTGCCTCTGCCTCCCAAGTGCTGGAATTAAAGGCGTGCGCCACCACGCCTGGCTTATTCCTATTTTTGTAAGTAATTTATAAAATAACTAAAAAACATAAAAAGCAAAAAGGGTCTAAGGGACCAAGATAATGAATGCTGATGACTACTTTCCTGTGTGCTGAAAGATCACACCATGGAGTTCCAGGCATTCTTCAGAAAGCTGTCTCAGACTGCACACAGGCTATACCATCATCAAAAGTACTGCCTGGACTGACATTCACGACTGCTGAGTACAGATGGCAAGCCAAAGGAGATGGTAAAGAGGCTGAGACAGAGCACCTGACACACACCAGAGCACTGGTATCTAGATACATAAACTGGTCCTACAATTTAAGAAAACATTATTGGGGCTGAGAGATGGCTCAGTGGTTAAGAGCACATACTGCTCTTCCATAGGACCTGAGTTCTGCTCCCAGCACCCACTTCAGGTGGCTCACGATCGCCTTAATTCCACCTCCAAGGGGATCCAATCCCTCTGGCTTCCACAGGCACTCACATGCATGTACCCACGCATACATATATACACATAACTAAAAGTCAAATAATCTTTTAAAATAAGAAGACAGGGAACCCAATGGGAAGACATCACAAGGGATACAGATAGTAAAGAGCAAATGACTAGCAGGACGCGACTGAATGCAAAGTGAAGCATCAATTCACAATCAGGCTTGCACAACTAAAATCCCTGACAACCAAATGTAGGCAAGGAGTTAGGAAACAGATATCGCTATGACAGTGCAAACCTGCACAGCCACCACACAGGCAGTCAGCAGAACCTATTAAAACAAAAAGCATGAGCACGACAGAGCAGCTTGTTACTCTTATTTTTAATGTATGTCACTTCATTTATTTTCTTGCTTCATAAATACGTTTTTTCCTCCCTGCTATAGCAAAAATTTCAAACATACAAAAGCAGGTCAAATATGTTGCTTATAATACTTGAAAGTAGTGAACAAATTTGCCTCAAATCTAGCAAAAACCCCAAATTCTTCAAAAACATAAACAACAACAAAAATCCATATGCCTGCTATGTATGAAGATCTGCAAGTCAGCCATGTAGACATGGGTCTTTTTCTCAAAGGGCTAATGATGAAGTTGGGGAGGTCAGAATATGAATGACTTATAATCATAACTTAGCATATACTAAATATCAAAGTGCCAGCATAGAAGTTCAAAACAACATATTCAGAAGAGAGGACAAACTGAGGGCTGGGGGGTTGTGAAGAACACTTAGTACTCTTCTTTGCATTGCAAGTCACCTGCTTGGAGGCTGAGCAGTCACTGGAGGTAAGTGGAGACCCTTCTTTTTCTCCCTGGGTACCTGTCAGCTTTCTCACTGCAGTTTTCACAATTTGTGTATATTTACTGGTTAACTTGTTGACTGCATGTCCCTTCCTTTACTCCCACATCTAGACTTTAGGAACTGATTACATTTATTTGTTTATTTATTTATTTTATTTTATTTTTTATTTTTATTTTTTTGGTTTCTGAGACAGGGTCTCCCTGTAGTCCCAGCTGGCCTGGAACTCTCTATGTAGACCAGGCTGGCCTTGAACTCACAGAGATCTGCCTGCCTCTGCCTCCCAAGTTCTGGGATTAAAGGCGTGCACCACCACACCCGGCTACACTTTATTTTTAATACATGCTTGGTGAGCTGGGCGTGGTAGTGCACAC